CCCCACAGCTCAACATAACAGCATGGCTTTACTTCCTATATTTCGTCTTCATACTTTTCTACTGGATGGTTAAGACCAAGGTAAAGCAGGACCTGTGCAATAAGAGTTGTAGCTTTTGGGTCTGATAAGGTCAGTGAAATCCCCTCAGGATTTATCCTGAGACAAATTGGGTTTTAGTAGAGTGGAGATAAACTTTATTTTGTAGGCTTTGGCTTTTTTTTTTTTTTTTTTAATGTGTTTAGCACAGAGTCTACAGGGTCTCACTACATAGAAGGGACTCATAGTGATCCTTCTGTTTTCAGCCAAGTGTTGGGATTATAGGTGTGCACCGCCATGCCCAGTCTTAATTGCTGTCTCAGTGCACCCTGGGGGCAGGGCCAGCACAGCTTGTGGTTCCAGGGATCAAACCACAGCCCCTTTGCTCTGTCTAAGCAGGTGCTTTAGTCTGCTGAACTATCTGGCTGACCCTTAATTAAGGTTTTTAAATAGACTTCTTGGAGACAAATCACTGATAGAAACATATTTGGGTAAAGTTTCAGTGATTATTTTGTTACTCTCTTGTGGTTTTTGTGTTACTAGGGGTTAAGTCAGGAGTGCTCTGCTTACAGAGCCATAGCTCTTGTTTTTTCTTTTTTTGAGACAAGGTCTTATTAATAAAAAGACAGACCTACTCCTCTCAAACTTGGGATCCTCCTGCCATGATGTCCCAAGTAGCTGGGGTTACAGATACAGTGCTACTTCCTCTTGCTGCCACACATTATTAACTTCCTGCCCTTTGGTAGAAGTGCAGGGTGTCCTCCATTGCGGGAAGATGAGTGTCAGTGACCACATGTCCACTTGCACCCCATCTTAATGTCTAGTATTAGGGTCTCTGTTGGAGGAAGCCAACTTCTAGAGCTAGTGTCTCTTCTCTAATGTCCTCAGGAAGCTGAGAATACAGCTGTAACGTAATTCAGCCATTAAAATCTAGAGTACTTTTCTCCAGTGGTGTATTAGATTAGGCTACAGTGAACCTATGGAACCCTGTACAGACTCTGAAGTGCACAGGGCAGTGAATACCCTAAAGTGCCCAGTGTTTTACCTGATGCCCCTGAGGGAGCTCACTGTCCGTGTGGCTTAACACTCTTTCCCACCCAGAGATTACTAAATAGTATGGGTAGTGTTTGGTAGAAGAGATTTCCTGTTTTCCCAAGCAGCAAGATGCTGTCTAGGACATACTGTGATGACCTACATTAGCCTCTTTCTGTGTGTCCTGCCAGACAGCAGTGGCCACGGACAGGCAAGTAGGTCAGTCACAGAAGTGGAATGAGGCTAAATGTCAAAGGAATGAAGTTCCCATGTTATGTCTGCAGCCATTCTGAAAATATACTGTGACATTACTTTAGCTCTTTCATACATATAAATATTCCCCACCAGTCAAGATAACTTAGTCTGTCAGTGTTTGCTTTAGTGTTAGGTAGTTTTATGAGCAACTTGTGAATCCACATCATTTGATGGCTATTTCCATAATTTTAAACTAGCCATGAAGTCCGCCAGCATTTGCTAGCTGTAAAAATAAGTGCAGTCAGTGGATTTAATCACCACTGTCAAAAAGTTCATAGATAGCTGAATTATATGAAATAGATTTAGAGTAGATTTTTTTAAATTGGGCATTCTTTTCTCAAGTTTGCCATTTTATCCTATCAACGCTTTGTTTTTAATATTTTTGGTTCTCCGGTTAGTTTTGAAATGCTTGAAAAGCGACAATGCTTCCACATATCTGTAGAAACAGATGGTAACATACGCTGATCACACCTACTAAGAGTATTTATATAAATGATCTGGGGGGAAAATTGCATGAAGTGTCTAGTAGATCCTGATGAAAATGCTGGTATATATAAACCATGTTTGACTAGGCCATGTGCAGGTTAGAGTTTGTCATCAGAAAGTCTCATTTCTCCCTCTAGCTGTAGTTTTATGTCTCTTAATAAGTGGACCTCAGGTGGAATTGAGCATTCGATCGGCACTGCGCCCACAACTCTTGGCTTTAGGGCTATATCCTGGATAAAATGTTATCCAGATGAGATTATTCTCCACATTCTGGTTGGGCTCTCCTTGCCCTTGCTTACAGACTGCTCTGCAGGTGGGGATGAGCAAGTAATGGTAAATGCAGTAGATGTTGGTAGGTATGATATGATAATGACAGACTGGGCAGCACATACCCATTTGTTTTTCAGTAAGGAAGCTGTGACTGTACTACAGCCCACAATGACCAGACCCCTTCATTATTTTTTTAGGTGAGGCTTATTTTTTGCTTTTGGTGCCAAGAACCAAACCCAAAGCTTCCAGCTTGCTAGGCAAGTGTTCTACTGCTGAGCTAAATCCCCAGTTTCCCCTTCATTAATAGTCATCAAATTGAATTTTTCTGACAAGTCGTGTGGTGTCACGTGTCCTGGTGAAGTGGATGTGAGAGAAAGCCTTTGCCATTCATTGACCAACTTGGCCTGTTTTATTTGCATGACTCAGAAAAAGAGTAAACAGTGAACCTACTGTCTTTTGCAGGTTATCAATGCTGCATTGGCTTTAGCAGCCAAACCTCAGAGTAAATTGGCTCAAGAGAATATGGATCTTTTTAAAGAACAGTGGGAAAAACAAGTCCGTGTTCTCACGGATGCTGTTGATGATATTACTTCCATTGATGACTTCTTGGCTGTCTCAGGTAATGAGCTGGTTCCCCAGAGAAGCATGTAAAGATGTGCATAATTACTTTCATCTAAGTTATAGTAATGAACAATCAGACACCCCTGAGTAAGGGCAGGTAAATTTTTCTGGCAGTAATATGCTGGTTTCAAAAAATGTTCCCACTGTCTCCTGAGCAATAGGAGGTGAGTTTGGAGCTGAATCCCTTGTGGTGAGGCTGCTCTTGATCCTGGAGGCATTAAGTTTTGTTTCCTTCTTGGAAAGCCTGTCTTCTGTTTCTCAAAAATGATCATAGTTTAACTGCCTCCTTTTCTGAAGACTGTCTGTGTGATGCACAGATAGAAAGCAGAGAGGAAATATTTAAGTGCCGTTTAATTATGAACTTGCAAAAAATAAATCTGGGTAATTCACCTCACAAAAACAGTTGATTTCATTATATAAACATAAACTGATAATGACATAGTAAATTGCATTCATATAGAAAATGTCTGTCAGATGCAATTCAGTGTTTATCACACAGAGATAAATTTCAATTCTGTCTCCTTAGAGTTCAGTAACATTAAATGCATTCTCCATTTAACCAGGCCTCCACTGCCCATGGCTGCCTGGCTGTTCTCTTGGAAATACCAGGCTTCCTGAGACCAGGGGCTGGATTCTTACAGGGCTAAAACCACCTGTCACCCTGGGGAAGTGCAGGCTAGAATGTGGGAGGTGTGAGTGGCAAGGGAGCTCAAATACATGTGAAGCGCAGTCTTCCAGCAGTGACCTATATAAGGATGCCAGTGTGTTCTGAATACCAATGTTTCCTGCCTTTGCATGCTCTCCTTGGGATTGGTAGATTTGGCTTTACTTCACATAGTGGGGAACAGGCAATTTGTAAACTGTAAAAAGCTAGGGTAAACCATGGTGCTGCAGGACCGCCAAATTGCAGGTGCTGGTACTTTAAAACAAAAATCTCATTTGCAAGCACATCTTTGCAGGTGCCAAAAAAGCAGCAATGGCTTTTTTGGGAAATCTTGGCCTTCTGTTGTTTTTCCCAATGAAATACTGAATTATTCTTTTTCATAGATTTAGGGAAAAACATTCCACCCTCACAGTGCACTTTTAAGCAAACAACAAATTCTGAAATCTAAAGGTAACCCCCACCCCCAATCACATACCTACAGTTCTTTTTTTTTTGAGATTAGCTAGATATGGCTCAGGCTTGGTCTCGAGGGATTTTCAGTCCTTCGAACAGAAAAATAAAATGTAATTGAATCAAATGTCCCTCGTGTAACATTCTTCAAGTCAAAGAACAAAAGGGATTCTGTAATAGCATTTAGTGAGATCCAGCAGTAGGGTATATGATATAAAATAATAATAAAGAGAAATCACATTCTTCAGCAGATGAATTTTATCTGATGACTATGGTCAACTTTTATGTAAATGTATGAAAATTTAAGACATGGGTGACTTGATGGTAAAGAGTTTGGACAGTTTATATTTAGCAGGTGAAAACCTAGAACTGTTCTCTTGGGAAGTGGTGTTTTCAGAGGCTCTGAATTTCAGAGGCCTACCTGGTATGTTTTTCTAATGTTTGTCACAAGCTTCCTGAGAAATGTCAGTTAAATAATTTGTAGGGAAGGGCTTTATTCACAGTTTCTCTGCTTTTCAGAGGCATAGGATAAAGTGAGGAAAGAAGCAGAGGTCTGTTCAGAGTTCTAGTTGATTTCTAACACTCAACCTCTTTTATACCCTCAGATATTTACCTCCCTGTGGCAGCTCTAGAACTTAATACATAGGACAGTACAGATGTCTTTCTCATCTCATCTGCCACACAGCCTGAGTAGGTGTCAGCTGCAGGAGGCAGGAGGCCATGTGTTGGCCGCACCTATACTTGCATCATGTGCCAGTGTCCCTGTGCACTGGCATTGCAGTATTCCTCAGTGAGATGGGCTTTTTTCTAAGAAAGCCTACCAGACGGTCTGTCTTAAGTATGCTGGTTTCCTGGACTGGTGGTTTTCTGCTATATGTTGGAGCCCTGAGTTCCTTTGGCAATGTGAGAAGTTTTATAGAATAGTTCCACTAATGGTTTTCCACTATCAAATTCCCTCTTAGAATCCAAGGGGCCTAGATATTTGCTACAGTCCTGATGACTTACTGAAAACTAAGGAGAAAATACATATGGTATAGGGCTGATCACTTTTATTTTTCTAGTTTTTAGTTCATTGAGTCCAGAAAGCCACTAATCCTTATCACAAGTTAGATACTAAGTTTTGGCTCCAAAAGTAGTGGTCATCTTGTGTATAACTTGGTAAAAGCATCAAAAACCAACAGTGGCTTTTGTTTTGTTTTAAGGTAAGGAGGTTGCAATTAGTGTCTGCATGCATGCTAGGCAGTGCTCTATGCCTGAACTACACCCCTAGCACCCAACACCAGCATTTCATTCATTCATTAGTCATTTGTTCATTTGGTACTGGTATCAAACTCAGGGCCTCTTGTATGCTAGCCGGTTATTCCTCCCACCCCCAAGTCCACTGGCATCTTACATGAGGTTGCAGGGCAGGATGGGACTTGGGTTCCTGCATGTTTAATATGATAAAGAGAATAACACTTAACCTTTATTATTATTTTTGGTACTGGGAATCAAACTTAGCACCTTGTGTTTACAGTGCTTTATTTACTCACCTTTGTGTGTGTGTGTCTTTTTGAGACAGGGTCTTGCTATATAGTTCAGGCTGGCCTTAAGCTCACTTTGTAGCACAGGCTTGTCTCAAGCTTACAACGATCCTCCTGCCTTAGCCTCCCGAACTACACTTGCCTTCAAAGAAGGGGATAAGCATGTTGCTACCCCCAGGAAAGAAGTAGTAGAGTGTCTTCTTCCCAGGTTGCTGTATTTAAAGTTCTGCCTTATAAATACTGAAGGTGTTTTAGGGTGCCAGAGAGCATTCTGCAGACCAAGAAAGTACGTAAACTGCCTGATGGCTGAAGGAGAATAGTTTGAAATTCATCAAAGTGACAAAGATTGTTAAGAGTTTCATTTGAATTGTATTTGATAAGTGTTGTCCATAGAAAGGCAATTTATTTCCTTATTTGTTTATTCTGTTTATATGTTGAAGATTTAGCTTATTGATTTAAAAGATGCAAATGGTTATGTAGAGTGGTTCCAGTTTGGGTTATTGTATTTCTTAGCAACTGCTCTTAGAAATAAATGATTTACTACATTAAGTACTTTGGACCAAACATATGGAGTGGTAATTAATTTCTTAATTTCTTCCTTGAGTGTTTTTTTTTGTGTGTGGTTTTTTTCCCCATAACTTTATTGATAAACAAATAGCAATGAGACAGTTTCAAATCAAATTGGTAGGACAGTTTCAATAATTAACACATTGCATACTTTCTTCCTAGTGGTTAATTGCTGTACAAGATGGGGACATGATATCCTATTTACAAATACCATTAGAACAAATCCCTCTATTCATTAAGAGAATGTAACTATATATGTATCCTAACCACTTTGAATACACAGATACAAAATGGACATACATCTGTATACCCTTTTTTTGTTAAGTTCCATTATTTGAATATTATAGGTGTGTAAACTCAGCAAAATATTCTAAAAGAGTCCAGTAGCCCATAATAGTATGGGGTCTTAC